CTGGAATTGGCTGGTTGGTTGTTTTTTTGAGCTTGGAGAATCCTTGCATCAGGGCCCACTTCTGGAAGACCGTGTAGATCCATTTCTTGGCTTTACAGGGAATGCCAGCATCCTGGGTCCGAGGAGCTATAGCTGTTGCCAGTGTTCTTTCCCTAGGGCCAGATTTCTTCAGCGTAGTCAGACTCAGTGTTGAATTGTTTAATATGGGTGACATCACGTCCTCTTCATCCTTTCTACCCCAAAATCCCATGTCTAGGTTGAAAGGGGGCTGCCAAGGAATTAGGTCCTCATGAGCGGAGGTTCAGGTGCTCCACAAAGAGGAGCTTTAGTTGAAGGACTTCAGCTCAGTTATGCACAGACCTCAAGAAGGCAGGCAGTGGCTGGACATTGCTGACTCTGCGTTGACTTCCACTAGGAACAGATTTGCTTAAGAACAGAAAAGATCATTTGGTGACTTTGCCTGATGAGCTTCCCTTCCCCTCTCCCACTCTAGGCAACACAGTTGACCTAGGCCAGTTCAGGTATTTCCAGTTTGACTGTGGTAGACCTACGTTGAGCTTCAGTGCTTCAGTGGTCGTAACTGTAGCAAATGGACCTACAGGAAGCAACCCTGGGAGGGACCGTCCTTCTGCAGAGGCCTGCGGGCATAGAGGCTATCAGTCCTCAGGGCTTGGGGAGCAGAAGGGGAGAACACCAAGTGCTCTTACTACCCTGAGCTCCTTTTAATGTGTAAGCTTTGTTTTCGGCCCTCTTTGAGGGCAGGGCCAAGCTTTTCTAAGTGCCTCTCACCCTAGGGTTGCCCTTTAGGAGAGGTACCTCTTGAATGGCTGGATTGGCCCTGCCCATTATGAAACTGCTATATGTAGGAATGGCAGATGAGGAAACATACAAGGCCTCAGTGCCCCATGGCCTCTTTACAAAAGGAGAAGTTGGAAGGGGGTTGTGGGAGGAGCCCCTGGGGGCCTAGCCTGTCCTCCACCAGAACCTGGAGTTGCTGCCAGCAGAGGACCTGTGCCTCAGCTGAGGACTACCTTTGGAATGTCAGGCGGTGTGACTGTGTAGGCCCTCTCCTCATCCTCGTTTCTGTGGCATGGCACAGGTTGCCCAGTAGCTTGAGCTTGCCCCATGTTGACATGCCTCCACAAGCTTACATTTGCTCTGGCTACAGCTCAGTGCCCCATTCTGGAGGGCACTTTCTGGTGCATGGAAGGAGAGAAGAAAGCAAAGGCCACATGCCTGGTATGGCCAAGCCAAAGACAGGTCCACCTGTCAGGGGAAGGAAGAAGTGAAGGGGACATGCAGGGCTTTGGGGGCCAGATTGGCTCAGAAACATGTAGGTTGAAAGAACAGAGGTGGCCCAGTCAATAGGTTTCACAGGGAGCCATGGCCTGTATTTGGGGCATTGGGGAGCAGCAGGCATCTGAACTGGTCTGAATCTCACTCTTTTCTTGGGCCAAGCCAATGTGGAGAGAAGGAACCCAACCAGACCCCTGGCAACCTGCCTTACAGGGTAGCGCACATATCTGCCCAATGCCAACCCTCTGCTGCTCCAGCTTTGGTACAAGAGTGAGGGAGAAGCTGGCGCTTGCCCACCCAGTGGCCAGTGGGCCTGTCTTCCCAGCTCCTCCTCAGGGCTTTGCTGTCAGTGCCAAGCCGGTTCCCCAGCCAGATTTCCATGTGCCATTTGCCAGCGTGTGGGAGCTCTGCGCATGTATGAGGGTGTTTGTAAAAGAGGGCAGTTTACTTTCAAATGGCCTCAGAAAGGGAAAAGAGTGCTCCCTCCAGCCCCCAGGTGGCCTTGACCAGGGATGTGGGCCAAGGAGTACAGTCTGTGGAGCTGGCCAACTTGTGGCATCCACTCCGAATAACAGAGACCCAGTCACGCCTACTTCGGGTCCTCCCGGCCCTCAGTATTTGCTTTTGTTCACCAAAGATGATCTGACCCACCTTCCTCCCAGAGGCACAACAGTAACATATTCCTCTGTCAGCCTGTGAGGGCATGTGGGGTTCTGAAGCCACGGACTCAGTCTCCCCAAGTCAGCAATCTCTTTCTCTGTCTCTCTCCTCGAACTTCATCGCATTTGTAGAAGCTACTTGCAGGGTCGCTGGGCTAACCAGGGCGATCGGCGAACTTTACTGTACAGTACCTCAGTCTAGCTGTCAGATCATCCCTTTTGCTGTAGCCTATGTTGGGGTTTTTATATTTGTGATCATTGGTAATTCAGTGTCTTATGAAGTGGGCACAGCTCCCCACAGAGTGCAAGTTGTCAGCACGTCTCTGTGCACTGGTTGTTGCGCAGGGCAGTGCCCTGTGGATGAGCTAGGTGGCTCAGGGGGCAGCAGAAGGGCCCTTTTCCCTGCTCCCTCTGCCACAAATACTTCCCTGGATTTGTAGACGTTGACCCAGAGTCATCTGTCCCCTCCTGAAAAGGATTTTCTTACTGGTTTCGACTGAAGGGGAAGTAGGGGAGGAGGAAAAAAGGACCATGTGTGATGCTCTCAGAGAAGACACTGATGCTGATTATGGAGGGTTTCCTGCAGGTCCTCGTGGGCTCCTGGGCAAGACCCCAGGCTGGGAAGGGGTTCCCCCCACTGCCCATCCTGCCTGCTCTGTGCTGGGCAGAGTCAGTGACAGGGAGGCGGCCCTCTTCTTATGTATATAGAGTGAGCTGATTTGGGCTCAGGAAAACCTAGTCACTTGTTGCTCTCTTCTGTGACATTTTTGTACGCTGGTTTGCTACTCACGGCAAGAAACAGACAAAACCCCGTGAAAAACAAAACAAAACAAAAGTCATTTCAAAAAAAGCTGTTGTTTTGAAAACTCTTGCTTTCTTTTGGTGTCAATTTTGTGTTTCGTTTTAAAGAATCCTTCATTTATATTGGTGTTACTGTAGTGAAGAGAATATGATAGGCTGATCTGTAATGGTTTCTGCCAGGAGCTTAGCAAATGCCTCTGACCCTCTTCCCCTACCCCTATCCTTCCTCGATTTCCAGTTGGGATTGCTATGCTCTGGGCAGACCCCTCACCGTCTCCCCTGAAACCCCACACAGTGGCTGTCTTTAGAACCAGTCTTTGTACTCTCCCTCAACAGCAGCAGGGTAAGGCTGGTTCTTGCGTGCTCTGTGACCCCACCAGTTTGCACACCTCTTGGGGCGTTTTGTAATGTGTTTTCTCTGTTTTGTAAAATCTTTTGATTGTACTGAAATGGTTTCTGCAGTTGCCTTTGGAAATAAATGGTCATTAATTTGTTTACTTAGCATTCTGCATTTTAGTCTCAAGTGTTTCTGTTGTTGGAGATCCTTGAATGAAAAGGAACCCTCACCATGGGACTTACTGCTATGTTTTCTTCATTTACTGTTAATTAGAAGATTTATGAGACCCAGGAGTCCTGGCCTTGCTTCCCAGAACCCTCTCAGAAGGCCCTCTGCTTTGAAAAGAAGACAAAAGGGGCCATTGGCCCTCCGTACTGTGGAAGACCCTCAAAGGACAGCTGGGCTCTCTCAGCGCAGCTTTGTCCTGGTAGCTGTGTGGCTGGTTGGCCTTGAATTCCCACACATTGCCTACTTCTGCCAGGGACCCATCAGACTATTTGCTCTTAGCAGGGCTTGTCTGCCAGGCCCATTTGCTGGGCTCTCTGGGACCCAAAATCACACTGGGCAAGCCTGGATGACTGAGCTGGAGAAGGCAAACACATTCAGGCCCAGTCAACCCAAATTTCCTGAGGGCCAGCTCTGCACCAGCACTTCTCAGCACAGGCCTGCACCCAGCATGGGTCGGACCATGAACAAGATAGCCTACCCTTTGGAAACAGACCTGCTTTTCCAAGGCTACCTGCTGAGCAGCCCATGATGACTGTGATTGCCCCTTTTTACACAGGACAGAGGCCCTATTCAGGCTTTCGCCAGGGCTGCTGTTTCTAGAGGGGACACAGCTAGACAGACCTGGCCGCCAGTGCAGGTGCATTTCCTCATTTGCCAGTGGTTGGGCACCCAGGCTATGAATGAGGCAGGGCCCTGCAATCGTGAACTAGATTAGCAGTCTAGAAAAGTCCCTTCTCTTGCTGCCTCACGTTCTTTATCAGCAAAGTAGTAACTCCAACTGCAGGCCAGACACAGAGCCAAATCCCTCTCGTTACCTTTTTTTTTTTTTTCTTTTTTTTTTTGAGACAAAGTTTCGCTCTTGTTGCCCAGGCTGGAGTGCAATGGCACGATCGTGGCTCACTGCAACCGCCGTGTCCCAGGTTCAAGCAATTCTCTTGTCTCAGCTTCCCGAGTAGCTGGGATTACAGGCATGTGCCACAACACCTGGCAAATTTTGTATTTTTAGTGGAGACGGGATTTCTCCATGTTGGTCAGGCTGCTCTCAAACTCTTGACCTCAGGTGATCCGCCCACCTCAGCCTCCCAAAGTGCTGGGATTACAGGTGTAAGCCACTGTACCCAGCCTTGTTACCTCTTAGAATCCCCATAAAACTACAGTTATCTGACTGGCAATGCTGTCATTGTTTGGCAGGGAGAAACTGAGAATATGAAGGCTCACTAATAAATGGATGAGCTGAAATTGGAAAGTAGTTTTGTTAGACCCCAGAGCTTACATGCTCTCTACCCTCCACCAGTTTCCTCTACCTTTCCAGTGTGCTGGCATTGCTGGGTAGACCCCTTGCCTAGGGAACCCCGGTCCTTATGGAAGTGGAAGGAGAGCCGGCAGTGGCACGGAAGATGAGAGAGAAAGGGGAGGCCCAGAAGTGCAGAAAACAGAGGAATCATGGCTTGCCAGCAGTAGCCTCAAAGCAGAGCTGAAAGGCACAGAAGAAAGGGGGCCGGATACGGCAAAGGGGAAGGACAGAAAGAGACTGGCGGAGAGAAGGTGAGGAGAGTTGGTTCATGTCCTTTCCCCATGTGTGTTCCTTTTGAGGAAGAGAGCTAAAAAAGCCAATGGCCTAGGCCATTGCCATCTCTACCCTGGGTACTGTATCTGCCCCTGCTACCATCACCATCCCCACCCCCACTCTACTGTGTATTCCCTCCTGCAGACAACAGTCTTTTCAAATGCAAATCTGCATCACCTCCCTGGGCCCCTGGCTCTTTCCGGGTAACACACCAGCCCTGGGCTCTGTAAGCATCTTCAGATGCATCTCCTCAGCCCCGCACTCCCAAAAGAAGCATGCACAGAGGGCCCTTCGCTCCAGCAGGATGTACTCCCCTTTGGCATGCCAGGCCATTTTCCAGATTCTTGCCATTTGTTTCCTTTGCGCTGTTTTCTCGGCTCCCCACTCTCCCTTTTCATCCTAAGGCCTCCACTCAAAGTTTAGCTCTCTCTGCAGTCTTCTCTGAGCCCCAGGCTGTGTTAGGTGCCAGTCCACTTCGCTCCTACAGCACCTGGTACTAACTCTGGCCACCATTTGCCTCCCTCTTACATGATTCATTACTGGTCTCTCTCCCTCTGTAGACGTCAAGCTCCTTTAGGGCCAGTTGGGGTCTGATTCATCCTCCAGCCCCTGGCACAGGACCTGTTTCTTTCAGTGAACAAGGATCTTATACCTGAGTGCTAAAATATGGCAGGGGGCACCAGTGTTCTCTGACGGAGAACCCTAGGCTGCATAATCCATGCCCATCCAATGAATTCTCCTGGATAGGGCTGGGATGCCTTTGTTTGTCCAGGCACCTCAAGCTTCTTGCTGAGGGTGCCCATTTTGCTTCTCTGCAGGGCTCTATATAGTTGGTGTCCTGGATGAACAGGCAGTATTGTGAGGGAAAGCACTGAGACCAACAGCAACTCTTCCACCTGACTCTTCCCTGGACCTCTGGGCAAGGTGTCCAGCTGCTTTTCCATATCCTTGATAGCTATTAATCACCACCAGGGTTACCCCTTCCTTCCCTGGGGGTACACAGAGTTAGTTTGCATGGCAAAAGCCCTACCAGCCCATGGAATGTGTCATCTACCCCCGTGATGGGTAGGAAGCAGCTTGAGTTAGTTACAACCTGATCCCCCAATGAGCTTTTCTCTTGTCCTGGTTTGCCAAAGCCAGTGGAGGAACAGAAATACACAGATGTCAGCCTGACAAAATGCAATGGTTTATTCAAAGGATGTGTGGTTTGCTAACCTTGGCAACAGGCAAGTCCAACGTAGTCAAAAGTCAATGACTCTGTTACTGCCTGAACCTACCCTCCCCACAATCAGCACCTTGCCCAGCATCTGAATTGCACACCTGGGATGTCTGGGCTGCTGGGCAAAGGGGTTTAAAAGCCAGGGAGGCAGTAGGGAGAGGCTTCTCCTGTGGCTAATGGATGCCCTCCGCAGCTGACTTCGTAACTTTCAGTAACTCCTACATCTCAGCAAGCCAATAGTCTCTGCGTTTCACACTGAGGCAGGTCTTTGCAATTGGGGTGGAGGCTTCCTTGACACATTTCTGCTAGAAAACAGGGCCAAGCATGAATCACAGAGCTGTTCTCCTGTCCAACAACCTGTTCTCAGCCCCACCACTGTTCCAGCCAGCAGGCCCCTCTGCTCCCTTCCACACTTTCCCTCTCCATCCAAGGGGCTTGCCCAGGTGATGCCAACCTGCCATTGCTGTACCTTTTCTATACTCGGGAGGCTTGTGCTTATGGGTACTGGACTTTTAGAAAGACCTTGGACTCTCTAGTATTCTGTCCCCTGAGAACAGAGGAACCATCCTGTGCATTCCAAGACATACACTCAGATTTCTAGCATGTCAGAGCTAACAAGATAACTCTAGTACAGTGGGTTGTCGATTTTGTTGCACATTAATCACCTGAAAGGCTTTCAAAATCTCAGTGTGGAGGCCTCACCCAGGCTCATAATTCAAAACAAACTTCTTTTGCTTTCAAGTTTCCAGGCAGGTTCTGAGTCATCTCTTAGACCTGACCATCTATAGCAGTGCCTTTTAAAAAAATGAAGTATTTAAGATATACCGAAAGGTATCAAGAATAATACCTAAATCCAGCTTAAGAAAAAGAATGTTACCAATACAGTTGAAGCTCCCTTGCTCCAGAGGTTTCCAGATTGTTCCTCAGCATCTCAGGGATGCTGGGGCGGTGCCTCAGAAGGCACTTCAGGCGGGGAATGCGTGGGAGTAGAGCGGGTGGTGTTCTGGCCTTTCCCCTTGCTTCGCCAAGAGCAACTCCACTTATATTCTGTCTTGTATATTGAGGTTTTGTAAATAACGTTGTTGTGAAAAGGAGTTAAAAGACATTTACAACCTCAGACTAAGTTATATCTCTATCCCTTTCCTAAATAATAGTGGTTGTCCTGTAGTAGTCAAACCAGCATTTAGCAGGACTGAGCAGGCAGAGCCTACTGTCCCACTTCTTCCCTTTCAGGTCCCGAGTGCCCTTGGCAAAGTCATACCTTTTCTGAACTCCATTTGTAAAACAGTAATAAATACCCTTGTCTTGCTTGCCTCACAGGACATCTGTGAGGAATCCAGTGAGATCGATGGGCGTGAGAGGGCTTCACAAAGTTCTGTCCAGTGCAAGGGGCTCCTATTTCCAGAGAGTTTGGTTGCTACGCTTGTTCTCAGAGCACAGAGGATAGTGGGCTTTTGACTGTGCTCATACCCACTCTGCCTTAATGTGCCCTGTGTGGTTGCGGTCTGTGGTGCGTATGTGAGTGGGTGCTCGTGTGTAGGACAGGTGATACCTCAGTTTGTTTCATGGACTCTAAGACACATTTTTTCACATTTTAACATCACTAAAATAGGAATGCATCTTAAAATCAGTGGCATGACAGTTTAATGAGCAACTTTTTTCTTTTTCAGTGGTATATAAAATAACAGACATCTTATAATCAATTAAATACTGTAATTGTTAACTTAGATTCCTCTTCCTCTTCCCTCATGAAAGTCACCTTCTTGCTAGAGAAAATGCTTTCGGAAAAATATACAAACTTTTAGCATACAGCCTCATTCTAACATTCCTCTTTTTCCTTCCCTGCTAGCATCCACCCAGGCCAGGAAAACTATCTGCTTCTTGACCAGAGGGAGACCCACTCTGTTGAGCTCTCTCTTGGGACAGATGGTTTGTGGGACATGAGAGGGATGAGGCAGAGCACAGCTGCATAAGGAAGCTCACCGTGCCAAATGGCAGGGAGGGAGTCAGACAAGCTAGACCAGCCACCCCAATAGCTCTGGTTTCTTTCTTTCCCAACCACCGCCTGGCCAGACAAATCAGCCTGCTTCCCTGGGGAACTCCTAGGGCAAGTCATTGCCAGAGGTGAAGTGAACCAGCAGAAGTAGGGCTGGGGGTGTGAAGCCCAGCATGTCCAGAACTCCCTGAGTTGATGTGAGTGGCTGTCTGGCCCATGCAGAACACAGTGATTTCCCTAGCTCCTCCAACAAGGTGGAAGAAGAGTTAGGTAGTA